AATGATTTAAATAGTTAACTATATAATTATGATTAAAACAAGTAACTATATGAATAAATGTTTCGTTATTTAACGTTCAAATAAGTCATATTTTGAAGAAATGATATAAAGTTAAAACAGCATGCTTTGTGCAATATAATCAACAAAACTTTGTGCTATATAATCAACAAAACTTTGTTTTGTTACTATTAAGTTAAAACTGCATGCTATATAATCAACAAAATTTTGTTTTGTTACCATTTTGTGTTACGCTTTTGTTTCTTTTGTATGTGTATACAAAAGAATATTTTGTATATGTAAACGTATTTTTGTATATGTAAACAAAATAAAAAATGATTTTTATAATAGAAAAGGATTCCATTCCAACAAACAAATTTTGCGAAATAAATACAAAACTCAAATAAATAATTTATTTTTTATCTCATCTGATACATTATGTTATTCCGTTTTGCGATTGCCATAGCATTCCTTACATCTGGATACTCATTATCAGCAATGTTTAATAATATTTCATTTTCTATATCTCTGTCTTCTTCGATATTGAGTTCTTCTTTGTCAATCATAAAATTGTGTAACACACACGCAGCTCCAATCATTTTTTGACCAAGTTCGAAATCATTAATGTCTAAGTAACGAAGTCTCCGAAATTTTCCTTTCAAAAACCCAAAGGTTCTTTCAATTATGCTACGAATACAAGACAGTTTTGTATTATACAATAGTTGCTCTTTACTCAAATGACCCGTATCTCGAAACGGTGTCATTAAGTTAATTAATAGAGGATATGCTGCATCTGCAATTAGATGTAGTTGTGGCGGTAATACAGGCTGTTCTGTATTTCTCATTTGTCTATATAAAGTACTGTATCTAAAAACACAAGAGTCATGCATTCGTCCTGGTAATCCAATAAATATATTAATAAAACGCGCTTTGTGATCACATACACCTATAAATTCAAATTATTATAAAATAATTTAACTAATAACAAAAAATACATATATATTGTATTAAAAAAAATATAGTACAGAGTGTATATACCTTGCAAAATAATAGAATGGAATCCTTTTCTATTATAAAAATCATTGGCATTATGAGCAGGTGCTTTACATTGTATATGACAGCCGTCGATTGCACCTATGACACCTGGAAAACCATTGGAACGCTGTTGGAAAACCTGAAAAAAAATTATATTTGATATAAAAAGCATTATTTTATTTTTTATACTATACAAAAGAATCTAATCTTGTTATTGTATTATATTAAAGTAGTATTTATAGTACTTACACTAGATGATATGTTGCACTTGTTCATATCTGGCCATACAATAAAATTAGGTATTAAATTAGTTAATACTGAAACAATTTCTTTCACTATACTGTGTCCTGTGCTTTTAGCTATATTGAATCTGTCGCCTGCTGCCAAATAACTTTCTTGTTTTGCTAAAATCCAAATTGTGAACAATACTTTTTTCGTCAAATCAACTGGTTGATTTTGATTTTTTATCATAGCATTACCAATTATATTTACTAATTCCTATAACAATAAATAGATATTATATTTACTTATTAAGATATATGATAAAATATAAAAAATAAAATTTATATTTTATGATATACATTTAAAATATATTTACTCACATCTATAGCTGTTCGAGACATCCTGAAATGTTCTTTAAATAAAGAGGTACTATATAATGGAACTATTTCTTCGTAATAATTTTCATTTTTCTGTCGTATGCCACGTTTGTCTAAATTATTTGGCAGTAGTAACTGATTTAACTCTTCTTCAATTAACAATTTAATAAAATTTATTTGTACAATATCATCATCTAATAATTCGGCAAGTATCAGATTGTTGAAATTCATTATTATTACGATATGTATTAATATTAAGCACTCTTTACAATGCTCAATAAATACTTTTTCTTTTAAAAAGTGGTTAGTTATTGAGTAGTGGTTAGTTATTCAGGTTTTGGTTATGTTAATAATGTAACATGTCACACTCTGAACGCAGCCAAAAGAAGCCGTTCAGAATAATATTTCTTGCTTACTTTCCGCTCACTGAGCAATCGCGCAACAGTTGAGTTGTCTGAACGCACCCTATGTGTTCATTGATCAATGGTCAAAATATTTAGTAGAAATCAGATCTCACAGAAAATGACGCGTTCCGCCATGTTTTATTTGATCGCGATCATAGGTCGGGTATACAACGATTGAGAAATCGACCAATGCGAATTAACTCAAGAGTTCTTTAAAGTTTAAACTAATCTT